TTTGGAGCTTCATGGGCTTTTCATGTGGCTCATTTTTCTATATTGGTTAATCAAAAATAGTGATCATTCAATTGAAATTGCCTTGTTTTTGTGAAGATTGGCAAGTTGTCATAAAGTTAAACTCTTTATTGTTGTTGATCTCTGTATTCTTGATGTCTTAGCTTTGACTTGACTCTAGGATGACTTGATTGTAAATCTGCTTAGCCTTCATGGGCTACAAGGTGAAGGGGTAGTCTTTGAAGTACCTGATGCCCTAGAGTTTTGTTCCAAGAGAAACGGTTCTTTTATATGGCTGCTTTGATTTTTGTTCGCCCTTTTAATTAGAAGACAGTAATCTTCTAAGTATCCTGATCCCCACTATTGATTATTCTGTTAATTAATTCGTGTTACTTGGAGTGCTAGATCTTGACATCCTGGTTATATCTGCTCTTGAATTCGCGTTCTGGTTGTCATTATTGAAATCTCTTTTGTGGGCCTAATCCTTGAATTCTATTGCTTATTTCATGGTTAACTCTTGTCTCTTAATTTTGACTGCTTGGTTAAATTTGATCTTGATTCTTGGTGAATGCCGTTTTGTTGTTGAATTTTTGAGGCATTCTACCTTGCACTCTTATGTTCTAGTATTCTTCCAAGCATTCATATTTTCCACTGTTTTCATTCTGATGTTATTTTGAAAATTTTACATGTCATTTGATGAGCCTAGCTTTTAACTCTTGTTAATTGCTAAAATCTGTTTCTTGATTCCAGTTGTTTTATTAAACATGATCTCACTTATCGGTTAACCTTGTTTTGTGGCAGAATTTATAAGGCATCCATGCACTTGTTCATTCATTCATGATTCGTACATCCATTGGATGCTTATCCGTCTTTGATAGAGTTCAAGTTTTGTTGTACTCGTCTTTAAATCCATGCCATTCTTTGCTAACTCGTCTTGTGTTGGGTTCATAGCGTAACCCCACAATTGTTCTTTTGTGGCTTTGGCAGGATTTATTTTTATTCCTTGTGCTTCTCATATCACCCCAGCCTCTAGTAGGTTGTTTCATGGTAAATCCTGTTAAGTAGTTAATGTTCTGTTTTTATGCGTAGTTGTGGTTTGATATCAGAGTGGCGCAACGGAAGCGTAGTAGGCTAGGTTCTGATCATGGAAAGTTGGTGGAGCATTTGTTTTGTCTTGGATTGGGTGAAGCCATTCACCAGTCTAAATGATCCTCAATTTGAGTTTTGGGCACAAAACTCCTTTTTTAAGAGGGGTGAATGTAATATCCCAAATTTTTGAGAACTTTATTATATAAGTTAGGGAATTATTTTGGAGGAAATATTATTGTTTGGGGCCTAATGTGAATATTCTGAAACTTGAGGGACTTAAAGAGGGAAAAGATTTGGATAAGGATCAATTACTTTTTTTTTCCTTCTTTCTTCTTCCTCACCCGCGCGTCTGCTCTTCTTTTCTTCTCCCTGCACCGAACAACAAAGCCCAGCTGCCGGTGACATTTTCCCTTGAGAACCGGTAAGAGAAACTTGATATTTTCCTTCATTTTCTTGTTCAAGAACCAGATTTAAGCTTGGAAATCCCCTCCCCTCTGCAGAATTTCCAGATCTGCTCTGCTCCTCCTCCTCACCGCCGGC